GTGTGTGTGTGTGTGTGAGTTGAAAGGGCAGAGGGTGTTACTGTGAGAAAATGTAGCTTCACTGCTGCATTGTGTAGAGGAATTATGTCATGTCTGCCCAGGGAGAAATAAAGAGGATACTGAGAAGGATAAAGTCTTCACACAGGTTTTTACCATTTGACTTCACAACATTTGTGATGAATTTCTTGCAATTAAACCACAGCCTGTCCAATTTATTGTTTTGCCAATAATAATGGTCCGGTACCACCCTTTCACAGAAGTATTAGTATCTGTGTTTTCCAATATGCACATTACGCTGATATGAAAACTTTTATTGTACAGAAAAAACTAGTCATATTTATGTTTATATTGTGTATTGTTTGAATATATTGTTTATTTGCTGCACTCAAAAATCCATATTGGTCGGGCACTCAATAAAATGTGGTTCTATAATTGTGGAGGAATGACCAAGAGTATTGTGAAAGGTATGACTTGTAGTGACAAACCCATAGTGCTAAGGAGTATTTTAGCCTCTTCCTGGAAATTGTTTTGGTTTTTTTGGCCCAGAAGTTTTGTAATTTGGTTGATTCCCATTGCTCTGATCAATCTCATGTCCATCATGTCACAACGAATAAAAGACGAATTTAACAAAGTTTATGTTGTCGTGTCGCACAGCCCCACTAAAGTCTAGGAGTTTGAGGTCCGATTTTAATGTGACTCATTTGCTATGACTCCTGAAAACAGGCCCTTGTAAGTCATTTTATTAATAATTTGAGAAAATGATCATTCTTCAAATTCCTTGTTGTCTCCCCAGTGTCACGATCAGTTGGTGATGCTCCCTGTCGTGTCACGGCAAGTCAGCTTCAGACCTTCTGTTTGTTTTTTGTGTGGAGAGTGACTTCAGTCTCCTGTTGAGTTCCCACTGAGCTGAGTTTTAGACCCCATAGTGATGGACTCACTGACGACAGATAGTGGCAGATTGGACGGCAGTGACAGATCACGCCCTGGACATGCTGTAGTAAAACTGAAGAGCTTAAAAGCCTGAGCATGCATCTATTGCTCGATTGCACAAATCTAGAAAGATGAATAAAAGGAAGCTTAATGTGGAAATGAGAGGAAGATGGCTCTGTGGGAGAGGGTTGTAGCAGTTTCTCTTTGGCCTCAGTTTGACCCCTCTCTCCTTTTAGAATCTCCTTGTATTTTGACAGTCACTCCTCTCGGTGCTGTGTCGTGCTGTTTAGGGAAAGATTACACTGTCAACAATAATAAGATGCTTCGCCAAACACACACACACGACCGTGCCCCCTGTGTTCAGCGATCTCTCCCTCTCGGCCTCCCCTCGTTACCCGAAACATTATGTGCTGCCAGCGGGACCGCCACCAGCCTTATTCCAACGCTGTCATGTCTGCGCCGTTGTGTCTAGTCATGCTGAAGCTGTCGTATAACCACACAGTGCTCCCGCCGGGCAGCTTTAATGACAAACTGAAAATAACCTCCGTAATAAAATCCCACAGCATAAATTAGGCTTTCCAGAACGTAGTCATTCTGTGTCAAAACCAGCTCAGCCCTGTTGTGCACAGAATGAAAAACAGATCTGGTTACAAACAGTTAGATCACCCTCCAGTGTGTTTTCTTCCGGGAGCTGCGGTGGGGCAGAGCAGTGGGGACAAATCAAAACATATTCATCATCCTGACAAATATTGCAACTGTACAATGATTTGTGATGTAATGTTCTGTCATGTTTAAATCTTAGAGGACCATGTTTGTGTCTTCATACAGTGCAGTCAACTGTTTTCCAAAAATATATCATGTATTTTACTATGTAAGTATCTAGGCCAGTGCTTCTCAAACCAGGGGTTGGGACCACTTGGGGGGATTGCGAGGAAAAGAAAAATGATTTTGAAAAAACACAAACAATTTAATAAGAGTTAAATGAATATATTTTAGCTATAATTGACACAAAAGATGAAGCAACACATGAAACATTCTTTCATGAGCACTTTATTGAGACACTGTTATTTTGACGGTCAGGGGCTGACAACATTTGGGAACCTGTGCTCTAGACAGTCGCTGTTAAGCTCACATTTTACTGCAATATGAGAATATACTTTCAGAGATTAAACCCAAAAGTCCTTTAAAAGTACGAGGGTTTAAACATAGATGCAGCAAATGTGGTTTTAGAGGAAACTGTTGCCATTCCAGTTGTTTTTGTATTTTATCAAGCTTTCTTCAGCTTTCCTGTGGTGATGCTCTACTGCACTCTAACCTTGCATCTTCCTCCTTCTCCCTTTCCCATCTATTTACATCCCACTACAGAAGTGAATATGGAGCAAAATTTGGCAGGGGCACGTGTGGCCATCTGGCGCTCTGTGTGTGTTTGGATGTGTGTGTGTGTCCTTGTATTTTTGGACGTTGACGGCAGATTAGGACGAACCTCTCAAAAACTGAGCCGTAATGTGCGAGCTGATCCGGATGGTATTTACCAAGCCGCACCGTGCTCTGTGGGGCTTTTTAAAAAAATATACTCTGATATAGATTGACTTAATATAGCATGTAATATCAGACAGTGCCTCTGCACCACCAGACACTGAGATGTGATTTGATTCTATGTTGTGCGACTGTTTCTCTGCATGCATTTGTATTCAGTGAGATTAACTGCTTCTGTTCCTTTTTCTCGGAAATTAAGAATCCATTTGAAAGCGGATGCACGTCATGGCAATAAAATGTCTTTGTGTCAATAAACTAATTATCCTACTTAAAGATAAGAGGTTCATAAATACGGAGAAAACACGTTTGTTGCTTTTATACCTGTTTGAAATGATGTAAGCTGTTTTTCTAGGTAAAAAGGACATAATTGTTTTCTGTGAAAGCAAAAATTGCCTGAATAAATCTCAAATCAGTTGAAGTGTTTACGTAAACCTTTGTATTCACATCCATATGTGGTCCTGTGTGCCGTTCACTTCTCCGGCAACAAAGAAACAGTCACACAATGAAGCTCACATCATAGCCTTAGGTGCTGCTGACGGCCTGCGATATCACATGTTATATTAACTCGAATCAATATCAACAAAATCTATATCTCTTTTTGACTGTCTTCAAATATATATGCAAATGTGCAAGAATCTCCTCCCAACAGTGAGATGTCTCAGAGGGATGTTAATAATCTTCGACTGGGAAACTTAAAATACAGCAGCTCTTGGATGTAGTTAGAGCGATATTACCAACATGTTTTTTTCCCTGAGCATTAACTGAATTTGTAGAAGAAGCTTTGATCCTGGGTTTAAGGAGATTATGGATTTTACTGTTTTTTTAACCTTCCCAAATCCAGACCCTCAAACCGTTATCACAACAGTATGGAATTTTAGTATTTTAATCACTTTTATTTATTTAATCTTTTGCATTTGTGTAAATTTGCAGACTAATTTCCTCTCCTCCCTCTCGATAGATGGAACACCGGCATCGTAAGAAGGAGACCACCGCACCCGCAAGCACCCATCACTTGTTTGTCCACGTGAAGAGCCTGATGAGCGCCAACCTGGGAGAGGAGCTCGAAGTCTTTTTCCACATTTATGACGGGCGAGAGAGCCGGCCGCTCAGGTAAAGACGAGGAGAAACGAATCCCTTTTTTATTTCATGCTGTTTTCAGACCTGAACTCTGGAAAATGTCAGAAAACTGGGTCCAGATATTTTGTGGAGGGCAGCACACCCTCAGGGATATGATGCATTAAAGCTTGTCTAGGGCTTCCATAGCTTGGTGCCCTTTATATACATAGAGGCGATGATTAGACTACGTGTGTGACGATGGAAGCCCACCCTCCTACCCTGGAAGCCATGCTGGACAGCCAATAGGGGCCGCGTGTGCCTCATCAGGAGATTTTTCTGACTGAGACACTTGCGTTCTCACATACAGCCCCTCCGGAAAATTTCAGGACAAGACTTAGGTACATGCCTGAAAGCAGCTTGAAGAAAAGAAAAGAAAATGCGTTGTGGTGTCCGTTTCAATGCCAATATTCAAAAGATTATCACCCTGTGTCAGGATTTCTAATCAAACATAAGTGTGTTCATAAGGTTGTATAGTTGTGTTTGCATGCCCTATTGACCGCAGGTGGGAGAGCAGACGTCTCTAATAGCTTCTCTTCTTCTCATGCCACAAACTCTGCTCTAATTATATTCATGAAGATTTATTAAATAAAGAAGGTTGTTAAAACGCACTTGGACACATTAAAGTGGGCCGGGCCGTGCTAGTTTTCTCACATAAAACCTGTCCTTGCCGTCCACATAAAAGAGCCTGTCACCATCAGAGTCTGAACACGTCACTCGCACACACGCACGCACACCAACACACTCACCGCAGCCTCCTGATTGGGCGTCGGCCAAATGGAACACTGTGTTTAAGCTCCTCAGTTACACAGTTCAAAGCGAATTTCGTGGCACGTCACAAACAAGCGGCTCCATCAGGCAAAGGGGAAACGAGTGGCTTGAAATTTCGTTTGATAAGTCGTGCTTGTGTTTGACGCCACTCTCCGCCCCACAGGGTCACATCAGAGGAAAGGGGGTGACGTTGATGGGCCTCATTGTGTGAAGGAAAAATGTTCTTCTACTTCTATTGAAATTCAATTTATTAGTCATCGAAATTACTGTTGTGCAAAGTGGGTTGATGCAAGTTTCTTTGTACCTCACATGGGGAATGTTCGTCAGTGTGAATAAATAATTCACAAGAAAATAGGCTCTGTGTTTACAAGGAAAGTGAAATGCTGTTTCGAAGAATGGACATTGAAAGAACGCAGCAGGAGATTGTGTGAGTCAGACACGTTCGGAACAACAGGAAAATGTCCAGTGCCCTTATCACCAAAAGCTCTTGAATCTCAAACCTTTAAACTCTTCGTCAGCCTGACTTCTACTGACATTTACCCTCTGTATTCTCACGTGGGCTCACTTGGACATCTTCCGGACATTTTACGAGGGGGCTTGCAGGAAAAACTCAGGAGTAACTGACTCAGACATTCACGTTCTCACATACAGGTCCTGAACAACAAGCTTCTTAGCACAGAATACATCAGCAGATCAGTGGCACCTTTAACCTGCAAATGGATTTAACTATGCTTCTGTTTCTTTTAACACATACATCCAGAATCGCAGTGTAAGCTATAAGGCTTGGCAGTAATGCAGGCACATTTTCTCTGATCTCCAGTCCGTGCTTTGTCTTCAAGTGGGTAATGAACGCCTAGTAGCATCAAATTAAGTTCCACTTGAAGCGCTGTCTCTCTCCGTCTCTGTCATTATGCTTCTCTTTTTCTCTTTCTATGTCTGTCTCGCTCTCTATCTTAAAGATTGAGTACCTCAGCCAGGTATGAGTCATTAGACTCTTTCACTTCTGTTGTGTATTTGGCTTTGATTTACATTATAAGAAACATAATGAAGTCAAAGCTTCAGATATTCAGTGTATATTGCAAACAAAATGCTCATTTATTCAAAGTAAATACACCGTGGAGCAAAAATAATGAGCAGATACAAAGCTCGATTTTCCTCACAACAGTTTATCTTGTTTCCTAAATCAGCTAATTATAATTTTTCTATCAGTTTTGGGAGATAAAGGCAGTGAAAGGTTTTCACCATTGTCTTTTCTGTGTGTGTGTTTGTGTTGCAATGGCATCAGTTGTCTTCAAGGAAAATCTTGCTGTGGCACCTTGCCAATGTTGTCTCTCACTGTCTGGTCGCACACAAACAGACACACACACATTTACACAAGCTGCCTGGCAGTGAGCCATTTCTGCGCTTCCCTCAGTGGTGGTGGTTTGTGTGCGAGTGTGTGTCTGCGACCAGATGGGTGTCCGACCCGTTGTTGCTGCACTGTGCCAGCACCAGCAGCCCCTGTGCACCATGGCAGCTTCTTTGTGCTCAGTTCAGACTACTTAAATGGCTCTTCAGCAGGACACACACACACACACACGGGAATGCTGTACCATCCTCACACAATCCTCCCACTCTGTGTTGTGTGTTTCGTGGCTATTTCCAAACAAACACACATTTATGGCAGCTTTTCACACACTTTCCTCTTCCGAGTTTGACCTCCACTCATGTCTAACAAGGTCATTCATGGGTGGCTGGACTTGGACACAGCATGTGTGTGTGTGTGTGTGCTTTTCAGGGAGACCTCAGGCTAAGTGCACATTTTGTGTCTCTGCATGTCTCTGCTGTCAATTCTTTTTCTTTTTCAGCTCTTTTGGAAAATTTGCGGGTGAACACAGTTTTTTCACATTTAAACCCCCCAAAAAAGGAGTAGAGGAAATATCCCTTGGTGCATCACTTTCAACATCACAAAAGCAACAGAGACGCTCACTCGGGCATCTCATTTCCATCACTGCCAGTTGTAGCCAGAGTCAGTTAACACCAGTGTCTACTGCAGATTAATTTGACCAGGGGGGCTAATGACAATTGTCTCCATTCCCATTGCAGACAAAAGCCAAATGTTTTGACCAGTGGAAAAGGGACTTCTGTGTCTTTTAGGGTGAAGTTTTCCTTGTCTTCTCCATTCAGAAGTCATTTTCTAGTCTTTCCACATGGCCTCCAAGGGTAGATACATTTTTTTAGCTGGTGGGGGTGGTAGGCTAAAGTGGCAGTTAATTTTTCCAGTATTTTACACGCCAGTCAGTCACCATCCAAATCCCCACTCCTCAGTCCCCATGTCGGGTAAGCTCACAGCTCCTAATGCAATCATCGATATCAGGAGAGGGAATAGGGAGCGCTGTGGGGGCCCGAAGGGGAGGGAAATCGGCTATTCATGTTATGTTAATGCGAGCGGTGATAGAGAGAGATAAGGTCCCGCTGGGGGACGCTGGTCCTCTCAGCTCGGGTGATCAACACGCTGCAGCTGTGAGGGCTTGCGAAGAGAAGGAGAGGGGTGGCGTGTGTGTCTGTGTTTGCAGGAGTGGCTGTTAATTGGTGGTTGGGGTTTCAACAGTAGAGCACTAATTAGGGTTCAGGAATGCATGAACGCAAGTCTCATGTCTGATGCAAAGGAATCCGTGTCCATATGTTCAGATAAATGGCCTGGAAAGTTACAGAGAGCAACTAATGACGAAACAACCGCGGCTAAAGCAAACTGACTCTCGACTGGTTTACTCCAATACGGACGATAAAAGGAGAACTCTACTGAAGGAATACATGTATGAAAAATCATAAGCATTTGTATAATTAATAATCAGGAGCCTAATTAATTCAAACGTGGGCACCCACTGCCCTACATACACAAACGCACTGAGTTACAGCGAGGAAAGCAGCCACGACAACTTTCAAGCTTGTAGTAACAGCAGCTCGAGCTATTATAAAACATCCTAATCCATTGTAGCTGCATGCAGCAGGAAGTAGAGTCATATTGGATCTGCGGGGGTAAACTCTATTCTGGTGTGAATGGGCCCGCTGTAGCCTTGTGCGGTTAGCCGTGCCAATGACTTGGCTCATTATCAGCCGCCAGTGCATTACAAGGTTTTCTCTCTGCTTATCGGTGGACTGTGAAAGTCACCTAACTGGATTAGCCCACAGCTCACCAGCCAGGATGAGACGGGGCCCAGCAGGATGCCTCCGCTCGCTTTGAGAGTGCCTGTGAGATAGAGAGCGAGCGAGCGAGAGAGGACGGAGCACAAAGAGAAAAGGCGATCTGTGTCCGTCCTTTCTGTTTCTGACCGACATGCACTTCATTTGACGCCTGCGCACAAACGGGTGCGTGGAGCATTCGAGGCCAGGGTTGTTCTTTTCAGGCAGTTTATTCACGGCTAGCTGTGTTTATATTATATATTATATTTCAAAGTGTAGAGGGTGTTCAAAAGATCCAAACTATGAATCAGTGTTAGACAGGAAGCCAGCCACAGGTTTCCTTTTCCAACGGTCTCAGTGCAGCTGGTTATAGCATCGTGGATCTGGGGATGTCGGTCTGTCTGTCAGTTGGGACAAATGTCCGACAGAGCTGCTTGCGTAGCTGTAATCCCATAGTTTTGTGGACAGAGGGATGAAGTCAATAGGCTTGTATTTATGTTCTCATCTCATCTGTTACTATCTAAGTCACATATTTATTATAGTGTAACTTCTAACTCTCACTAGCATTGGGCAGTTACGCTAAACAAACAGCTTTATTTGACTTGACTGAACCAAGCAATTACACAATGATTTCTATATGTTTTATACAAAAATTCAATTTTCAGCACAGCGTCTTTGTCATTGAGCAGCTCTTCTGTATTCAACATGCTAGTAATGGTTTCAGTCTTGCTCTTTCACAACATGATTTATGAAACCGACTTGGCAGTTACACAACTGAAATTCTGCAGTTCTTTTTGTTACCCGTCACTATTTTTGCTGACAGTCCAGTATCTGGGCAAAAAAGTGTCAGAGAGAATCCACAGCATGCAACAACACCATGAATATTTAATCCGGCGGTGCAGGAGCCAGTGCGGAGGTACTCTCTGTCGGATGTGTTGGGGATTTGGTTCAGAAATTCAAGCTCTGTATATCTTTTTTTTCCTCTCTGTCTCAGTTCCCCCGTCTGCCTGTCTCTCTCCCGCCTCGCGATCTTGTTTTCAAACCGCTACAGTTTGAAGTTTGAACTTTGAAGACATTTCTCCAGTGCCCACCGTGCAGTGCTTGACATTTCTGACATTGCTTCTAATCTTTATTCTGTTTCTGTTAGCTGTGGCTTGGATGCAGTTGTTTATGATGACAGCCAGCCATCACTCCTGACCCCATTCATCTCAGTGTGTGTTCCCTCTCTCTCTGTATCTACTCTTGTACAGTGAAAGGTTCTTCGTCAGGCTGAATAAGAGCGGGTTGCCCAAGTCGCCGGAGAAGACGGAGAGACAATGCACGCTGTTTGTGGTGAGTAGTGTAGTAGTAGTTTAAACTTGTAGAGCTGACCTAACTCCTGCTTCATATGCAGAGAACCAAGCAGCTCAGTCAGTGCTCTGCAACTCGTTGACAATGATTGAATCTGATGCTAATGTGTATTTTCCTGTGTCATCTGTCAGGATTTGGGAAGCAGTGATTTGCGAAAAGACGTCTACATCATTGTTCACATCGTAAGAATAGGTGGGAGTTACGTTGCTGCTTCTTCAATCTTCTAAGCATTTTTTTCCAAATCCCTCAGGCTTTCATAACAGTACTGTCGGCACTGTCCCTCTTTGTGTTTGTGCTCAGGGAGGATGGGAGCAGGGGAGAAGAAGAACCTGTGTAGTGTGCAGTATCGGCGGCCGTTTGGCTGTGCTGTCGTCAGCATCGCCGATCTCCTCACTGCTGACTCTAAGGACGACCACCTGCTCAAGGTTTATGCGTAAGTCACCGCAGACAGCTAACATCTAAGTCCTTTCTCACAAATACACTATCATGATGTAGCGTTTCCCACAGAATGAATTCAATCTATGCTGGTAGTGTGGGTGCACACACACAAAGGTATTTCTCTTGCTGAGTGTAAGATACACAGACTTAAGAGTGAAAGACTAGTTCTTGTGGGTACGCATACAACTGCAGCTGAAATGATGAGGTCTGACTGTACAGCTACATAACACAGGAAAAACTGGCAGAACATTTTTTGGTTCATTATAAAACTGTAGCTGGACAAATATGAATAAAGCGTGCCGCGACAGTCTGGATAATTAATGAGAAAAACTAATCATAAGGAAAAGTTGAAGGAATTGAAAAAGGGTGAAATAATGACACCACCTTCTCTAACTCAAATAATAAACATGCTGTTCTTTGTTTAATCAGTGTAAAAAATAATAGCAGAAGCTAAGGAGGGGTGATTTGTTTTCATTAGTAACCCTAACCCTTGGTTAACTGTCTCCTTCATGTTCAATAGACACAAGACAACAAATAATGTCTACTTCAAATGATAAAAGCTTTGGTTTGGATTGTGAATGTGTGAATTCTTCTAAGATGCAAGTTGAGGGGCTCGCAAATACGTCCTTTCCTCCTACTAGATTTCTAGCACACTAGACAAACCAACAACCACAGCCACTCAGAGCACAGGACGGGGTTATGGCCGTATAAAGAGATGAAGAACAGATGTACTAGTTGGAGGTTTCTCCAGGTGAAAGATTGTGTAGTGTGTGATCCCCACAAAACATAGACTGAACTTTAATAGTGATTATTTTTATATTTCTTATTTTGTAAGTCAGTGGCCTGTTCTAGAAATCAAATATTTCATAAAAATCTAGTGCTACAGTTCCCTTTAAAGAAGCTGCATGCAACCGTAAGCAATTCATTTTTTTTCTCATAGTTTGATTAACTGGTAGCAGCATCAATATTTCACAAACAGAAAGGTAGACGTAATTTTACCTCTTGCAGTTTTTTGCTTTTTTTCGTCTACCAGCAGCCGTGGAAGTGTTCTGTGATCCATTCCAGTCTAAACAATGTCCCGAGAGACGGAGAAGGCTACTGTAGACACAGTAGTTTGACCTAGATTATATCTGGATCAGACTGACTGGCCAAATACACTGAGCTCAGGAGAAAACATACTTTCTCTACACCTGCTGTAAGACTGAGGGGATAGGAACAGTTCTTAGTTGATGTTAGATGAGACGTCATTGCAAATAGAAATTTGTTTTACCCCATCTGCCAACCAACAACACTGCAAACAATGAAAGCAACAGCCTGATAGACACGTTATTAATTCTTTGGGACAACTTGAACTCAACTTATGGCCAAAGTAAGTTTACTCATCATGAGTCCAGCCTATGAAAACAGTTTGTCTGATTATATCTGCTGTGAAAATCTCAGCATGGGTCTGGATACCACAAATGTCAACCAGAAAGCCTTTGTTAAAAACTGGGGATTTGTTGCATTATGGGAAATACAGGATCATGTGTTATCTTTGTCTCTGTTGCATCTGTTTTGACCATTTAGAATTCTGTTTCCGTCCTCGTTAATGAGGAAAATCTCAAGTTTATTTGTTCCATTTTTCTAATAATCTGTTTTATCTCAGGTGTAACACAGAGAGTGAGTGGTACCAGATCCACGAGAACATCATCAAAAAGGCCAACTCCAGATACAACCTGTCTGGATCCAACACCGGTAAGAACCCCATCTCTTTTATCCATCTAGCTTCCTCACATCTACACATCGTACTTGGCTTGAGACTCAATACAACACGGGGTTTAGTCATCCATTATGCCATGATAACAAACTTAGCAGCTCACTTGCATCATCACCATCAGTCTCTTTCCATGTGATAATCAGCTTCCGGTCAGTCTGAGTCAGTGTTTATGTGCGTGTGAGGTTCCTTTTTTCTTCACATGCAGAGAGCTTTCTTTTGTAAACGCATTCAGATGATTTTTATAAATAAACGCGTTACCACCATATGGAACAACAACGTCGGTGGTTTCCCGTAGCAACAGGTTGGAGGAGATTTAAAACACTGAGTTCTTCCAACGTCAAAGAAATTTCATCTGATATTTGAAAGGATTGTTTTGCTCCGAGGGCTGTACATCCCTCCTGTTGATTATAGAGTGCGTTGTTTTAAAGAATCCTAAAGCTGCAGCTGTTGGAGTAGTTTTGTTGATAATAATCTCGTATATGCAAACAGATGATGAACATCTTGATTATGATTTGAAATTATAATATGCAATGGAGTCAGAAGCGAGAAGACGCGCTGCAGTCGCTAGAAAGCGTCGTCCAGTGTGCAGCTGTTTGCATCAGGAGGTCAAATCTACTACCAGCAGCATCAGTTCATCAGAAGTTTCCATTTAAGTTGATTTACATAAATGCAAACTTTTTTTCAGGCTTTAATTTTCCTAATGGAAATATTCATTTTCCACATTAACGCAGCTGATTGTCTTCCTACGTCTCCCTCATGTATTCTTATAGGAACATTACAGCCGGGCTCCATAGAAAGGGTTGATTATTGTTTAAGGAGCGTGAAGCATGCAAACTGGAGAGATGGAAGACAAGGCTACATGATATGAATGTCAAGAATCTGTGAGACTGATCTACTGAGTCAGCTCCTCTTTCTACCTTCACTGAGAACACCAATAATTACGAGAAGTCGTACAGCTCCAGTCTGGCGAATTATCACGAATAAGCTTGAAGGGATGCGGTAATTAAACTGAATGACTACAAAGCCATTTAAAAAAGACTGCAGTTTCTGAGAATAACAAAACTTCAACATCAAGCTCAAATCTCAGGCAGAAATGTAAAGCGCTTTGCATTTCTGAGATGATGAGTGACTTATGATAAATAATTATAAATGAATAAAAACACAAATACGA